ACGGCAGGCCCTACACATCAGGTGGGTGAGACGAACGCACGCGAGATCGGCCGAGAATGGACTCTCCAAAAATGTGAAGAATAATCGAGACACATCCCCGCAGCGAAAAGAAAGCGTACGTCGCGATGTCTTTTATTTTTGATCGAAGGCAACAGACGGTGAGACAACCAGTCGTACTGTGGCTGTCCGCCGAGGTCTACCGGGTTTGGAAAAGGTCGCGTGTATTCTTGGATATGCTCTCAAAGTCTTCGTCCCGTCGTGGTCGAAGGCTTAGGAAAGTTTCCGATGGCACACTGTGTAACTTGATGCCTAATAGTACCGTGTTCCACTAGAGACACGTTGTCAACGCGGGTCGGACACGGAACTCGGCGTCCGACAAGAGGTGGGGTACAAGTGCAACGACATGTCGGAGGGAACATCGGAATAGGTACTGTTGAAATCGCAAGGAATCCTTCGCGGCCGGCTGGTCACGATTTTCGCGGCGTCTCGCGGGGAAGGGCGAGACGGATGACACGTACGCACCGCGTTCCAATTTTGGAGACTCCTGTAAATAGCTCGGAGACTAGCAGCCTCCGACGCTCATACATATCAAAGGGCTTGGAAGTAAATCGGTACGTTTCACGAGGAACCATGCACGCGATTTTCGTAGAAACTTCTCACTCGACGATTCGGCACCGATACTGAGGAATTTGAAAAAATGAGAACCGTCTCGAGCAAGGCTGTGAAACCTTCTTACAAGAGAAACGATCCAAAAAAAAAAAAAAACAATCTGAGGAGGATAGAAACTTGTTGGATAAGAGAAGAAGGTAATACTCCATTAGCTAAGAGAGAGAGATGGATCGAAAGAGACGGGAATGGCTCGACGATAGTAAAGCTGTCTTAGAAAAGAGGCAGCTCGCAGAAAGTTTAGTTCCTTCGAAAGAGAAATCGTTCAAGAAAGTTTGAAGACATCTCTCGGAAGAGAGTTAAAAATACGATCTATCAGAAAAGAAAGAGGTGATAGAGCCTTCGTAGAATGACTGAAACAAGATGGAATCCATTTCCTGATGGCCATCAAAAAGGTACCACTCTATAGATCTCTTTGGTGGTAGCAGAATAGCTCGAGGACGGTTCAACTTCTTCGGAAGAGGAATCGCCCAAGGAGGATCGAACCTCTCAGAAGAGGGGGCAACTGAGAAGATCGAGAAAATCCTCTCGGAAGAACGCGATTCGTGGAAACTGAAAGCCGTGCCGAGTGCGAAAAGTGCGGAATCTCTCGTGGTTGCTCGCGAAGCAGACAGGTGGGCGCTGCTTCCGCGAAGCCCGGACGTGTATATGGCGTCTCGGCGTTCTCACGACCGCGACGAGACGCTCTCTCGTTCGTTCGCTCGCGTCACACGATCGACTCACCCAAACTCACGACGTCGCGCGCGCGCACGACGTCACGACATTTATTCTGAAGCCGAGCCACGCGCTCCTCGACGACCATACTCTGTGGGATCCAATAAACGAACCGGAGATTTCTCAGCGACCACTTATTAAACACGGGAATAGAATTTTAGGGGAGTGTTCAGAGGAATGATCTGAATCAATCGTGCTCCGAAAACTGCGCGACCTGCGAGAACGCAGCCAATCCGCTTTGAGTGTCACTGATAACGCGCTGCTCTATCGTCGTGATAAGTTCGGCCCGCGACAAGTGTCGCGCGGCAATATTTTTCTCACCATTTACTGTACATCCGTTTTTTACATTAACGTTAATATTTTAACACTCATCCGGATAACCTGATTTTGTAATTCAGATAATAATTTCTCATTCGAATTATTTGACAGATTAACGTAATGATATTTCATTCACTGCAAGGTTTGCTACAACAATATTGTAATCCACATAAAGCAACTGTGCATAAAGTTCTCCTCTGCAATTTTTGAATTTATTCTTTAATCTATTGTTACAAAAAAACGCGAAGATTTTTAATTAGAGCCATAATCGAAAATTTAAGCTTACACTGTTAAAAAAACAGAAATTTGCTTCGTGTAACGGAAGCAAATTTCAAGCAGGTACATTAAACATATTTAATGTTGTCAATGAAAATGAAGTTACAAGTAATTTAAATTTAACGTTTATTTACATTAAATTTTATGCAAACCTACATAAAATTTAATTAAAAAATGTACTAAACTTCGTAAAATTTTATGAAACGTACACTAAATTTCATGTACATATACACAAATATACTTTTCAATTGCAGATACATAAAATTAATTTAGTGTCATGAAATTGAATTCAATTTATGTAACTTAAAAATACACTAAATTTCAGAATTTATAATTTAAAGAGAAGAAAAATAAAATATCACTATTTTTTATAAATGACATTTTCAATCGAAGAAAAGAATATTGATTTTCGTTGCGGAAAAAAAGTCACTCGCGCGAGAATCTAATTATGTTGACCCCGGTTACCCGGATAAGGGTTAATCAAACGTTACATCACGTAATGTAATTGCTCGTCATGTTACTGACTTTTTGCTGGGTGGCAATGCAAGTCTTTCAACTGCTCCTCGGTTCTCTTTCGTGCGAGGCTTTTCGCGGGTCCTAAACGTTATAAAATCGTGTAGACTGCTATCAATTAAGAGGATTAAATCGTTTCCACTATCCTCACATACATCTCCGCTTCTCAAATCGAATAAACGAAAGAATCCCCGGTCCATCTTCCCTCCCCTCCCACTTGAAGCTGTAGTGTTCAGGTTGCGACGAGACGACGTATCGGTGCTCGCACGCTCGAACAAGCGCCGCGTGGCACTCGTACACTTTTGATCAGATTACGGACTGCGAATTGAGAATTTTATATATCGAAGCAAAAAAAAAGAAGAATAAAAAACACACATACACACGATAATAAAGAACAATGAACGTCGACGACACACACACAATATATTAGTGTCCCTCGGTAATATTTTGTCGGGCCGAGGGGCGTTTTTATAAGAATGGTTTTAGATCTCCGAACAAATTTTGCGAAGCGAACCAAACGACTCTATTACTAAACTAAAATAAATAGACTCTTTGACTTCTCGGCCATACGTAACGTAAGATAATAAGGGCCGAAACGCGCGCGCCCTTGAGAGATGCGTGAATATCAATACCCGCCGTTTTGTCCATTGTCCGTGAGAGAGAGAGAGGGAGAGAGAGAGAGAGAGAGAGAAGGAGTGAAAGAGTGGGAGAGATAGAGAGAGAAAGAGAGACCTAATGCAAATGAGATATAATTTAAATAAGGATACAAAGTTTATATTCGAGGCAATATTTGTTATAATACGACTAGGGGATAAGTTGTGTGTACCGTTTTAAAAAAGGGCTTCGGCCGAGCGACCGCCTACGGGGACGAGCCCTGCGACGATCGCCAACGGCGAAGAGGATGCTGAGACCGTTGTCGATCACATAAGGGACGACGTATCGACGCGGGGAGAAACGCGTGAATGCGAAAGCAAAAAAAAAACAATGAATAAAACAAGAGGTACTAAGCTAAAGCGACGCGCGCCGCTTCACCGCACGTCGCGTTCGTCGTTTCGTTATCGCACTTGGACTCACGGTTGCGTTTGTGTCTCCAACGATATATAGATTATTTTATCTCGGGAGATACTCCTCTCCGGGGGAGAAGTGAAAAATGATTTTACATCACATTCTTATATTTTTATTATTATTAATATTATTATTCTGTAATTATATGTGTAAAATTTAGGTCGCCCGTAGAGAAGTAAACGTCACGTTTTATCCGAGGAGCCCTTCGAAATTTTGATTTAATAAAACAGGACCTAAGACGTAAGGCAAATTAGATTCTAAGCAGCTTAGGACGTGTAACCATATCATACAGTTTTGTAGATAAATATATATAAAAAATATATATATATATATTTATGTGATGCGGAGTACGGCGTTTAAATCAAGAGTGTATGTCGCTGCGTACTCGATACTCGTTCGATGGTTATTCGAGATGAAATATTCTGTCATATAATATCTCAAGACTGCACTTCCGATTAAGAAATCCATTTGATTCCAATCTCGCATATTTTAGAAAAAGCCAATTCATGAAATCTTTCTCAACCTCTCTCCTAAAGAAATTTATCTTAAATATAAATCACACTAGTCAGAAATTAAGCAATCATTTTTATTTATTTTTTATTTAATTTGCACAAATAAATCTCTTTCCTTTTACTCAATTATTTAAATATTAAAATTTCTTATATAATTCTTATTAATAGAATTTATCATTACTTTTATTTCACTTGCTTTTTTTATCTATTGTATTTATTTGTCTTTATTTCTTCATTTACACGTAATAAATTAATGAAAAAAGCCAGGAGAGAGAACATAAAACCAATCGCTGTTTTTCTAACAAATATGAGAAGATGTATTCCCAGCTTACTCTTTCTTTAGAAAAGAGAGAGAGAAAGAGGGAAACATATTTTCCTTTTCGAGAAATTGTATAGCAGCAATGTCTCGCTTTGTGCGACATCTCGACGGAGCGATACTTTCATGAAAATTTTGCTCCGAGCGAACGCATCTTAAGAAACGCTCGTTAAATCGAGAGATCGAGCACGTACAACCAGACTATCGCTTATTTTCTGACACTTTACCCGCGCGCTAAGACTCCGGTAAAGCAAGAAACGTACGTAGAACGTATTTACAACGAACGCTCGCTTAATACACACTCGTCCCGGTCGCCGCATTTTCGATCCGGCGCGAAAACGCGCAAACGGGGATGGAGTTCCATGTGTGTCCCTTCTTCCCCCCCCCCCCCCAGAACAGAACGCAAAATAAAGAAAAATCAAGAACCGCGCGCAGACCGAGTCCTAGACTTGGCGATTTATAGACGAGGCCGATGATTAGATATTAAACGAGAGCTATAGATTAGTTCAAAGAGAAGAAGAATAAGATGAGAGAGCAAAAAGACGTAGTTAATATCG